GAGGAGGACGAGAGCTCGGTGAAATTTCCCCGCAGCACCAATCCACCAGTCCAGAAAAGCCCAGGGTATTTCAACAGTAATCAGTCAGATGAGAGAGGCGAATCTGACACCCAAAAAGAATAACAAAGATCCGAATGCGGCAAACGGAGTCGGATTGAAGGAGTGGAAAAGTAGTACTGTGTAAGGCGAGTGCAGTGTGCTGTGACGTCGTCGCAAATGATCTCTCTCTCTCTCTTTTTTTTTTTTTTGCCTTCCGGCGGGCCAAATTGTTAAAGGTACTTCCGTACAGTAACTAGTAAGTTACACTGTACCAGATAGATCAACGGAGCTTGAACGGCAAAGCTACCCCAGGTACTGTACCTCTCCCAAACAAAAAAAAAAAAAAAAAAATTGAGTTTTAGGTAGCTAAGGAGATGATACAAAGTATGATCATAAACAATTATTCCCGCAGACTGGCGAGATTTCTCAGACTTTATACCACCGACCCTGTGTAAGCTGTGCTGGCATATGCAGCGTAGTCCCGAGCATCAGGGAGGGAATGATTCCGAGGTCCCGGGGCGTAACAACAGGACTGCCCAGTGTACAGTGTACACCGCTTGGCTAGTTTCGATATACTACACAAGCTACAGCGTAAACCTCAGACTCAGTCGCAGATGGACTGATATCTACGGTGTAGATGGTTGATTGTTGAGAAAGTGAACTGGGTCGCGTGCTGGTATATGCGGCGTAGTTGATGTACTCCTCTCCAAGTTCCTTTTGTCCGATTCTGCCGGTCTTAATGTGCCGTGTCGGGGCGCTCGGTGGGTTGCCACTGAGACTTATTGGTCGGAGAGAGGGGCGGTGGCTTCTCCGCCGGGGGTTTGGCTTGTTCCGGTGCCGATGAGGGGTGAAGCAAATGGGCCGAGGCATTTTGGGAAGGTCCGGGGTGGTATGACAGGACAGCCTGGAGGACCAGGACTGCCTCAACAGTTGGGAGTTGACAGAGTCAGTCATCCTATCTTGGCAGTGGACAGTAGAAGAACACTAAGTTACAGGCTATATGATACCACTACACTCCTTAATACGTGTTAAACCCCGAGTAATTCATCAAGTATTCCATTCCTATGTAAATTGCGGATAAGAGCTGCTAACCAGCTTACTAGCCCTACTTACTATAATAGAAAACGTACCAAGCTACCTAGGTAGCCAGTCAGGCCTAGGTCCAGTCCATCCCTCAGGGACCTAGCAATAGCCACAGCAGAAGGGAACGGACAGCAGGAAAGAGATAGACACAGACAACCACCGAACGTAAATGCAAAGCATCAAGCATCAACACCAATCCAGGAATGCAGCCCCTTGTATGCAACCCCCATGAAACACATCAACCCATGATTGAACCGAGAATAGAAAACACAAGTAGAAGAGTAGACGACCGCAGGCAAATGGAAAGGGGGGAGAAGAGGACGAAACAGGCGACGTTGTCAATCACATTGCATTCGGTTGCCATCGCGAATCTTATCACTGAGGTCGGACAGCTCGCCTCCTGCAGCTGAAGCGTGACCGCATGCATGATTGCAAGACAACGCCCTGCAGCCCGCACAGCCTCGTGCCCGATCCCCTGCTTTCCTGGCTTCAGCTGCCACGTGGGCCTTTCCAAGAGAAGAACTCCCGCCGCTGTCAGGGGCCGTTCCATGCACATGCGCTTGCCTCATAGCTCAAGGACGGACAGCACGAAATACTGCCAAAACCCAAAGACGCCAGGTGTCACTGAACATGCTGGCTGAGGATGTGAATAGCAATAAACATAATAAGAAATATAAAGAAGGAAGAAGGAAGGGCAGCTCTGAAGAATATAGACAACGCTAATACATCATCAGCTGACGATGAGGGGACCTGCTCGGAACCGCATGCAGAGGTGTATGTGTGTCATTCGACGAAAGGAAAAGGTGCTAAGGCCCATCGTATATTATCCCTTGCTGAGCATTGGGGAAAGCAACACGGCGACTCATGTGATGAGTCGAGAAATGCGATATATTGTGCATATCATATATCCACCTTTTTTACTGTATTCTCGTGCCAGACCATTACAAAGCAAGCTTAGGCTTGAGGGGTCTCTCCAGCTGGATGAGCAAGGAATCGAGTTCAGCCCAGTTAGCTCTGTTGATAGCGAATTTGCGGTGCTTTCGAGTCATGATGTGCTAAACAGCGGTCAGTTGCTATCTTCAAACGCGGTTCGGGAGGTCTCACCTCATCAAAGTCATCGAATTTATCCCGGCAGTTTTCGCAATAACCTGGCTTAGGGTCTCTCCGTCGCTCCTTTTTCTTCGGAGTGGTCCCCTTTCGAGTACTCGCGAGTCGCTTAAGTGCCCCGGTGCCCTCTAACTGCGCCGTCTCTTCCTCAAACACATTCACAGCTTTCTCCGTGTGGCTTAGATTACTCGGTCGATTCTCATGGGTTCTCGGCTTCAAATTCGTGTTCATGTTCGTGGTTTGGTGCGATAATGGCACCGTGCCAGCGGCAATCACCCCGTTCCCTTTCTCGAGTACCTTCCGCTTCAATTCATGGACTTCTTTGCTCAGGCCAGCCTTAGCCCCGGGTGCAGCGGCAGTCGAAGATACCATTTGGGAGCGGATGGCAGAGGTGATGTTCGAGGGCTGCACCCCTGACGCTGCAGGTTCACGGCCATGGAAGAATGGACCCGTGCGCTGCATTGGAGGTGGGCAGAAACTCTCTGAGCTCTTCCTAGGCGACGGTGGTCTAGCCGGCTGCATCTCCTGCATCTCAGGCTGGTTTGGTTCGCCAATGACCTCTGCGGGGCTATATTCCGGTGTTGCCTCCTCAACTTCATCTGGGGTCTTGGTGATCTCCGGCACATTCAATTTCGTATCTCGGATTTCTTGGACGGGGACAGGTTTCGGCACCGGCTTCTTCTCCTTCTCGCGTTGACGGGCGCGTTGTCGGTCCAGCTCCTTCTTCGTAGGCGGCTCGTCGATGAACGGACACTTGCCCAGGGGTGCACTTCTGAATTGCGGCCAGGTCCCATCCTGCCGTCTGGCAACCCTGGCGTACTCACGGACCATGACAGGCCGGGTCTTCTCATCCATGTCATGAACGTAGATAAAAGGGCCTTTGAACAAGATCTGCTCCTTGAGAACTGAGTGAGGATTCCGGTCAGACGGACCGTTAAGCTCATTTTGAAGCACTTGTGAGAGGTCGTTTTCCCCCTTGACCCTGGTGTGGCCAATGACGGCATTTGTAGTTCGAGTCGAACCCGTATGGCCCGCGATATCCCCATCATTAATAGTAGCAATCATCCGCTGGAGTTTTTCGATAGCCCAGATCTTCATGCGCATTTGCCGGGCTCGGTGCAGCACATCCATTCCTCTCTGTTCGCGCCGTGCATCGTTCTTAAGGGACATGTGAAGGTGGCTTTCGGCGCTCTTGTCGAGTAGAGACGGATTGACGGTCTGCAAGGTCCCATCCGCATTCAATTGTTCTGTAGGTTCCGCGTTGATCTCGGTCGGAGTCACGGTGTCATTTTCAGGGGGGATGGGGCGAGAGGTCACGACGTGGCTCACTTGACGCGAGAAGAATTTTTCTTCACGCTATAGAAGGTCAGCAAATGTGTCAATGGCACACGAACGGACATATTCCAGGCATGAGTACACCTTGAGCCCCTTTTAACCAGAGGCTCTCCGGTGCTACTGAAAATCGAGGTGGGCTGGGGGCAAACAAAAACTTACAGCTCCTAGAGCCAGAACCTGTCTTGAGCATTTGCTTCGAACATCCTCCGGGATACTGTCGAAGTAGAAGACGAATTGAGGGAAAGCCTTTCGGTAATGTCTCTGCCACTGTCGCATGGCATCCAGCGTCTCAGCGGACGGCTTGTCGTTTCTGGTAACCTTTTGTTGACTCTGACGTTCCTTGTCCCTGACGGCAACCAACTTCCTCTCGAACGCGCTGGGCTGGGCATTGTTGGTCCGACGTGTAAACAGCTTAGAGTCCGGGTTCTGCAAGGCGGAAGTTCGGGGACGGGTGGGTGACCGAGCCTCCGGGTCCTGGCCATCGACTACCTGCTTCTTCGGAGGAGGCTGGCCGTAAGGGATGTCAAGCTGGGTTGACGTCGCCCGGAGACGTTTGGCCGGCACGAGGCCTGACCTGTGGGGGGAATTGGTAGCATTCGGCACGTTTGCGAGTGGTCGGCGAGTCGACATATTAAGAGTGGTTCGAGGGGAGGGTGGGATGAATACTGCTGCCATGTGGTAACAATAGCGGCAGCACTATATGAACGAGGAATAAGAGTAGGAGGAGTAGATTGGAAGAGCAACAAAGGAGGGGCACTCCAGACGAGCACGCGATGGGATTACACGTCTCGACGAGCAGTGAACTCGATCAGAAAAGGTCCATTGTCCACGCGATTTATACGATAGTAACAGGGAGTGGATGTGAACAAATGAGACTTGGATGGTCCCTTAATTAGAAGGGGATCTGACCAACAATCCCAAGCCTAAAGGAAGGAAGAGTAGGAGGGCAAGGAGAAGTAGGGGAGGAAGAGGAGGAGGAGGAGTAAGTAGAGTGGTTGGTGGTTGGTAGTGGTGGTGGTAGTGGTGATGATCCAAGAGAAGAGCCAGGCTAAGCGTGTCAGGGAAGGTTGGTGGAGAACGGGCGGGTTTGTTTTGGCTCCGGGATGTGCGCCTGACAACAAAAGGCGTGCGCGAAGCATGAGCCCTGCCTCCTCCAAGAACATTCTTAATTAATTCCCTCGCTATTCAGGCTCTTCACTGATTGCCTGATGCTCAGAGTGAATCTATCTCGTTTCCTTTGATTCTCACCTGTGAACAATCTGGTTGTATCTTCGACTCACGAATTCGTCTTATTGAGCCAAATTGAACCAAACCTGGACGCGTCCAGACAATCCCATTGAATCACAAAATGTATGACGTCTATCCTAGCACCGAAACTTGGTTTGTATGTTTACCTGCACCTGAACGAGGTCATTACCTCTAAAAATGGGAGAGTTGGTTTCTAGTTTACAATTAAATCGAAGGGTATCTATCTAATATTCCTGTTTCTTCTATCCTAATCCCGAAGGGCTTCAATGTCTTCGACCTAAAGTAGCAGCCAGCGCGTCAGCAACAAATCAAGACCGATGGAAAGCAAAGTTTACCTCTTTCACAGCTTCTGTAGTCAGAACGATAGGGTTCTCGTCACCGATACAAACACTATCCTCAATGCGAATACCAATTCCGCGGAACTTCTCCGGCCAACGGTCGCTTTCGGGGACATACAGGCCACTGGAAAGAAGAGTATTAGTGTGAACATAACAGAACCTGGGCAAGAAATACGTACGGCTCCACTGTGATACACTGTCCTGCCCGTAGAGTATAGCCACGAGAATACCCCGAGCAATCATGGACATCAAGCCCAACATAGTGTCCCACGTGGTGAGGGAAGAGGATTCCCATGGCCTGTCTCAGATCAGTACCTCGAACACTAGATTAAAATGGCGTAAGGCGGCACTTACATCGCCAGAGACATCAAATCCGAGTTGTATCAACTGTTCCCGCAGACCGTTCTCAGCAATCGTATGCAACCGATCCAAGCTCACCCCTGCATCTTCCCTGCAGAGGGAGAGACAGTGGCGGTGCACGCTCAGGACCGCATTGTACAGGTCCTTCTGAGGGTCGGTGAATTTGCCATTGACAGGCCAGGTTCTCGTAATATCAGACACATAGGTGCCCGTTTCCTATGACACTGTCAGTGCTTGGTTTAAGAGCTCCTTTGGAGAGGATACTCACTCCGCCTCCGTCAACAAGGACCATGTCTCCATCCCTAGGTGCTCGTATTAGAACATCACCTGGTAAATACGACCGCATATACTTACCGGAGCACATCGTCATTTCTAGTGTAGTGAATGCTCAAGGCATTCTAAACATGTTAGGGTCGGTCTGTCGTCAAGCATTAGGTGGATTGAACTTACGGAACCACCCGCGACAACCGGGACAAAGGCACTGCCATCGCAACCATTGCGTCTGAAGTTATACTCGAGGTATGCGGTCAAGTCTCTCTCCTTGGTGAATGTCTGCCTCATAGCTTCAGTGAACGCTCTGCCGGAAGCCTGTCCCACCCGGCGCATCTGTACGACCTCGTCTTCGCTCTTGAAGACTCTCATCTCATTCAGTATCGGCTTCAGTGGCTTGACCTTGCGGTCGTCGACCAGTTTCTTCAGCTTCTCGGAGGTAGCAGTGGGTCCGTAGAGGAAGCGATGAAGGGACGACCGCCCGGGGTTCAAGGCGGGAATATCCGTATAGATCGCCGTAGCATCCGACAGAATCTTGGGGAGCAAATCTCCAATGCGATCGATGTCCCCTGACTAGAATCCAGTATATCATCAGCGCCCGATTCATTCTATGTGACGGTACAAGCATCCCTACCTCGTCCGCGTTGAAAACATCGATGGCAGCACGGGTGCCTGACCGGGCTCCATCCCAGAGTTCGGCCTTCGCGTCCTTCTCGCGCACGTATAAATGGAAGAGATGATTATTCCCTGATCCGTCATTTGCTGCCAAAAGGGTTAGCACAGAATACCCTCGGCCTGTTTCGTTCGTATTCCGCCATGTCAGAAACGCACCGACGATAGCCAGCGCACTGGGTTCGTTGAAGCCAGTAAGATAGAAGAAATTGGAGTCTTGACGGTATTCATTGAAGATTCCCGCTGCGCGATAGGTGACCTCCGAGGCAGCCAGCACAGCTACAGCATGTTTGGGTAATTTGTTTGCGAGTCGCGAGCGGCGCTGGGCATATTCGAGGGCGGTGATTCCGGGGGTCACTTATTCAGCAGGACCATGATCAGTACCATGGCACAAGATAATGAAGAAGCATAGTACAGAGCTCTGCTCTACTCACATTCACCCGGGTTCAAGATATGAGGATGTGTCTCGTGAAGCGGTTGACCGAATTTGAGTTCTGCGGCGGAGATGGAAGCATAAGTTCGGCGAAGCGCAAGACGCGGTTGGCGCTGTTTGAGCACCGAACAGCTAGAATGCGATAGGAAAGCGGAGGGTGTCTGGCGGGAGAGGTAGCGAGGCCATTGGCGGAGAAGTACTTTGCATGTCGACATGCTTATTGAAGTACCACCATTGAAGGTGCGTCGAAGGCGCTTATCTGGAATTTCGCGTACGGCGTATGGTTCGGATCTTACAACGGTGATCTCCAACATCCGGGGTCCCAAGGTTTCTGTTCCTGCCTCAGGCACAGATTACATGCTCGGCGCTGCCAGCCAATCAACATCAAGTAGTTTCCGATGGTTTCCTCCATCGCTGTTTGTATTGGCCGTGGCTTCACAACCGCAGTATCTCGGAGTTGAGAGACGTACCACAGCCCATGCTTCTTATTGCTGAGAAAGGTAGTCGATTGCGAATGGTACATAAGTGATAATATTACTATGTGTATACCATGTGAACCTGCTTACTGGAAGAGTGGATCTAATCTTTTGTAGGATTATGAGTGACTCATGAACAATATAAATACCTAGTAATGTCTGGGCTCACTCAACGCCTGTAGAAAGAACGCACTTTCATCCTTCCATTCTTTCTGTACTGGACAGCGTCGAAACCACATTATTTTGTTCGATTTTCATCAAACTTGCTAGGGACAAACCAACAAAATGGGAAGGACTCTAACATATCCCAAGAAACCGTCAAACACCGTCAACCGCTACAAACATCGAGGTAAGACAGTGCCCAAAGGGAAAGCACAGCTCAGCTAACCACGATTAGCGACCTACGACCTCGGTGCCATTCATTCTATCATCAACTCCACCCAGGTCCTTCATGTGTCCTTCAGCCCGGGGCCGTCTGAGCCCTTTCCCGCGATTCTACCTATGATCGGGCAGATGGGCTCCTTCGACTACCCATCCGCCAGCATTGACGAGCCTCTGGACTGCTACCTTCACGGCTATGTCAGCTCTCGAATCATGAACCTTGCGCGCGACTCGGAGGGAGAGGGCCTTCCCGTCTGTGTGGCGGCCAGTAAAGTCGACGGGCTTATCCTATCACTGACGCCCAACTCCCACAGCTACAACTACCGCTCTGCCATCATTCAAGGCTACGCGCAGCTGGTCACGGATGAGGCGGAGAAGCTGTACGCGATGGAGCTCATCACGAACTCCGTGCTCGCGGACCGCTGGGCCAACACGCGAGTGCCGCCCGACCGCGCGGAGATGTCCTCCACCGTCATTCTTCGGGTCAAGGTCGTCAGTGGCAGCGGAAAGATCCGCGATGGTGGGGTGTCCGACGAGAAGAAGGATACTGGCAACGAGGAGGTCACCGACCGGGTCTGGACGGGCGTGGTGCCTGTCTGGGAGACGTTTGGAGAGCCTGTCCCGAGTGATCAGAACAAGGTGGCTGAAGTGCCGGGCTATATCAGCGCATTTGTGGCGGCGAAGAATGCGGGAAATTGTCAGTATGCGGAGAAGGCCATTGGGGTCCAGCTGCCGAAAGAGGAGCAGCATTGATATGTGTTGAGTTGGAGTACTTACCTGGATCTGCTTTTTTTTTTTTTCATTTGTTGATTTGTTGATATTTTTCTTAGTCAATGAGCGGGTAGATATTCTTGAATTGATTGTGCATCTGAGCTATTCATAACAAGTTCAAAGTAATGGAGGGTGAGCCGGAATTGCCTGTCGACATTGTGCGGGGTATGGTGAGGGGATCTGGACGTTGATAATGCTACTAGGTAGGCTAGACACAAGACTTTGCCAACCAACTTCTGGGTAATAGGACGGACCACAAGACATGAGTCCTCAAATCTTCTCTCAGAGCAAGTCAAAGTATTAGACGGGAATGTTTTGGTATTACACTAATTAATGGATCATGTTGGGGATAAAGTTCATTATCGCATATACTTCGGTGGCTACCCCACGTCATCGCTTAGCGTCCCCCCTCATCGGAACGCCAACATGCTCTTTCTCAACTTCCAGATTCTTCAAGCGATCGGTCAGAAGGGGAAAGGGTATTCCTCACTGTGCCTACCTAGAGTCGACTTCTCTCATTGCTGCTATTGTGACTCAATTTGTCCGTAGCAAGGCTGGCTACTAGATACACGGACCTACTCCACCTCGTTCCAGAGGCTACCGTCATGGCTTCGTCCCCCATACCAGCAGCAGACCTCAAGTCATTCACAGACCACCTTAGAGGGTGCAAAAGGGTCATTGCCCTTCTAGGAGCTGGCATTTCCGCCTCCTCTGGACTTCCCACCTTCCGAGGTGCTGGCGGAATTTGGCGATCCTATGATGCGACTGCACTGGCAACTCCTGAAGCATTCAACGCCAACCCAGACCTGGTATGGCAATTCTACAGCTATCGAAGGCATATGGCCCTCAAGGCCCAGCCCAATCGTGCACATTACGCTCTGGCCAAGCTGGCCAAGAAGAATTCCAAATTTATCACGTTGACACAGAATGTTGATGGTGAGTCTGACACTGCGCTCCCGAAGAAATGAGGAACAAAGAGAAATTCAAAAATTGTTTTATTCGCACACTAACCAGTTGACTTTTTTTCCAAAAACGCAGGTCTCTCGCAGCGAGCAGGTCACCCCTCTCACCAGCTCCACCTCCTCCACGGCTCTCTTTTTACTGTGAAATGTACGTCTTTCTACTGCAGCTACTCGCGCGAAAATGACTTTACCGACCCAATCGTGCCTGCGCTCGCCCTTCCAAAGGGTGCGGCAAGTCTCGATCCATCACCCGAAGACTCGACAGGTGAGCGGGCGTCTCGAGCTTTAGCGGGCGCGCTGGAGAGTGGAGAAGGTGACGATGCTGAGCTGGATATCTCCGATGAACGGGTTCCTCTGCCCGCGCTGAGTCCCGACGTACTCCCCCGCTGTCCGGAGTGCAAGGAAGGGCTCCTACGGCCCGGGGTGGTGTGGTTTGGGGAAAGTCTACCGCTACGAACGCTCGACTATATCGACAAATGGCTGAGTAAGGACACGGTGGATCTCATACTGGTGATTGGGACTAGCTCGCAGGTCTATCCTGCGGCGGGGTATGTCGATAAAGCGCGCGCAAGGGGTGCAAGGGTGGCAGTCATCAATATGGATCGCAACGATGTCGGGTCTTCTGGGTTGACTTCGAGGGATTGGTTCTTCCAGGGCGATGCTGGAGTCATCGTACCCCAGATATTAGAGCCTATAATTGGCAAGGTATGATAAGGAGGGGGCCAGAAGAGGGTTCTATCTGGCTATCTAGAATGATTGCATAGCAGACTACGAAAAGAAGAGAAGAGCGGGGTACTGCTGCTTCACCGCAATTTTCTTGTGGATACCATCGTAATACTGTGAATTTAATGGACGTTTCCGATTTGGCTTACCAGTCTACAAGACGTCATGGTTCTTAAGTTAAGTCCAAGCTCCAATTTCACTCTACATCCCCAGATTTTCAGCCGTCAAGGCCCTGTGTCGCAGGCTCAAGTTCCATGTTGGGTCCATGCGTCCGAAGCGGTTGCCGGGGCAAAGAGGGGGAACCAAACCAAACAAATGATAGCGCTATCGATAAAATGTGGCAGGCGCCGGCACTAACAAATACGTACTCCGTACTCGTAGCGGGATCTTCTTTTTAGTCTATCTCAGCCCCTCCTTCCCTTCCCCTCCATTTCTTCTCCAGTTCTAGAATAACCTAAGCATCCTTTGCTCGATCATGATCTGAAGTGAGTTTATGCTTGAGGTTCAGCCTTCACTTCACCCTCATCCCTTGCGTGTACTGCCATGCCTTCACCTTTCGCCATCATTGAGGGTGTGTGCCTTGCTAACCACTTGCTGGTCTTACTGAAGATCAAACTAGACTTCCCATTCAACCAGACCTGGAACTCAAAGAAGTTATTGGACTGCTCTCTCGGAAGCTCGATGCACACAATAGACGCATAAACAAGCGCGGAGCGGCAACTACTAACCTACAGGACCGTACCAACAACAATCCCCCATAACCATTACTCAACATGGCGCGCGAAAGTGATGCTCCGATAGACCCCATGACGCCTCGCCGGCCAACTGACGGGCAGCAACAACCACAGCGACAGCAGCAGCAGCAAGAGCCTCGTCGTGTTCATCCAGAGTTCGGGAAAGCAACTCCTCTTCGCCCAGTGCAACACCAGAGTCACGCTCACCCGAGCCAGAAGACTCACCACCCGAACTCTTCCACCACCACCAACAACAACCGAGGCAACCCTTTCAACATTCCCAAACCCAATCAGGCTCGCCCCGAACATCACCGACCCCAGCAACATGCACGACCTCAGCCCCAGCCTTTCCCCCATCCCAAAGGACCGATGACCCCAGGCCCTGCTGGAGCTTTCTCTACCCCTCGTCGGGCAGATCACTACGACCCTTTCAAGCCCGTTCGTCCCTCTGCCTATAACAACAACCGCTTCTCCCGCCCAGTCAACGACGATGTCGTCGAGATTCGTCGGCCAGAAAATTATACCTTCAATACGCCGCGGGCGCCCAAGACTTTCTTTGCCTCCAAGCCCTCGGCCATCAAGATGTCAAATGCGTCGCGGAATCTACAAAACTTCGTTGATTTAACTGGTGAGGGTGGGTTCACGCCGAGTGCGCGGCCCAAGAATACAGGGTTCGGATCGATGGATGTGAACGGGTTCGTGGATACAGCGAAGGCGAATGAGAATATTAAGGCATTGTTGGAGGGGGCATTTGAGGATGACGAGGACAATGACAAGAAGAAGGACAAATCAAAGAAGAAAAAGAAGAAGGACAAGAAGAGAGATTCCAAGAAGGAGAAGAAGGATTTGACGAAAGAGAAGAAGCAGGACACCGTTGACATTGATGATCTTGCCGCGCAGCTGGAGGGTGTGACGGTGAAGGAGACAAGAACTTCAGATGACAGTGAGGATGAAGATGAGACATCTCCGAGCTCGTCTAAAGCCTCCGCTGAGGATTCGGCGAGGGAAAAAGAAGAGGAGATTACCAATGAGGTTGATGCCGAGTCAGAAGATGAGGAAGACGAGGAAGAAGAGGAGGAGGAAGATGACGATGACGGGACAGTGGAGGGCCTCAAGGTCAAATTACTTCCTCACCAGCGCGAGGGTGTCAACTGGATGTGTGATAAAGAGACTGGCCGAAACAAGACGAAGGGTGTCCTTCCTAAGGGTGGTATCCTGGCTGATGATATGGGTCTCGGAAAAACCGTTCAGACGATCGCCCTGATCCTTTCTAACCGGAAACCTGCAAATGGATTAAGAAGATCTAAGTCCGAGGATGAGGACAACAGTGACGATGACGAAGAAGAGGATACTCGGAAACTTCCGCCCGGTCTCAGCAAGACCACTTTAGTCGTCGCACCTCTGGCACTTATCAAGCAGTGGGAAGCAGAGATCCAAGACAAAGTTGAACCCTCACACAGGCTTCGTGTGCTAGTTTACCACGGCACTGCACGCGCAAAGGCGACAGACAACTTGGAGGACTACGATGTTGTGATCACTACCTACGGAACTCTGACGTCGGAGCATGGTGCGATCGACAAGAACAAGAAGAAGACGGGCATCTTTTCGGTCTACTGGTATCGGATCGTCCTGGATGAGGCCCACACGATCAAGAACCGGAACGCCAAGGCAACCCAGTCTGCTTGTGCTCTCGACGCTGAATATCGGTGGTGTCTATCAGGAACGCCGCTGCAGAACAACCTTGACGAGCTCCAGAGTCTCATCAAATTCCTACGGATCAAACCATTCAACGATCTAGCCAATTGGAGAGAGCAGATCACGAAGCCCATAGCTAACGGTCGCGGTGGTCTTGCCATTGAGCGCTTGCAGGTCTATCTCAAGATCTTCATGAAGAGACGGACCAAGGATGTTCTGAAGCAGAACGCCAACCTCAAACCGGGAGAAGAGGGCAAGGGAGGTGAAAAGAAGAAGTCCAATGGCTTCCAGATCGTCAAACGAGAGGTCGTCAAGGTTGAAGCCGAATTTATGCCCGGGGAATTGGACTTCTATAAACGCCTTGAACAGCGTACAGACGACAGTCTGGAGAAGATGATGGGCGGTGAAAAGGTCGACTATGCCGGCGCGTTGGTCCTATTGTTGCGCCTCCGGCAGTCGTGCAATCACCCCGACCTGGTCAAGAGCGATCTTGCAAAGGACAAAGATATTCTCCTGCAGACAGGAGCCACTGGTAGTCAATCGTCATCTAACAAGAACGATGACCTGGACAGCATGGCAGATCTGTTTGGAGCACTGAGTGTGGTGTCCAAGAAATGTGATATCTGTCAGATGGATCTTAGCAAGGACGAGGCATCGGGCGGTAGAAGCAGATGCAGAGAGTGTCAGACTACGTTGGATACAAACGTGATGACAACCGACAGGAAGAAAAGGACTGGTCCCAACGCGGTTATTGATCTGACACAGTCACCTTCAGCGCGCCGCTCTGAGGCCCACACGGCTCGACTCCGCAGAAACAGAAGAGTGGTTCTCGACAGCGATGACGAGGATGACGAGGATGGCGAAGATGGCGAGTGGATAGTCCCAGAGAATCAGCGCAAGGAAGCCAATCTAGGGAAGGCTGGGGGAACCGACGATGAGGATGCTGAGGGGGGCGGTGAATGGCTCAACTCGGATGATTCTGATGACAC